TAACATATGGAACCGGGTATCGGCTCACAGCGGCGTTCCTGGCAATGAGACGGCAGATCGTCTGGTCGACGCTGAGCAGTACCGTAGCTCTTTTCATCCATGTCACCACAGTATGACAAAAACCATAGACAGTTTCTACATCAGATACAAACACAGTCTCCGATTCCCTATAGCCTACCTCGAGTTGCTACAGATTTGGACTGAAGTTTGTTTGCCTTTGTTTTCCTGTTTTGATGTCCATGACACAGGTGTAGTGTATGTTAGTAATTGTTAGTGGTTAGGTGTTGTCAAGAGTTGGTGTTTGTCATGGACATCTTTTTACCTTGGCCAAGGATACCTAAAGCATTTTCATTATTACATGCTATGGCATAGTGCTATGTAAGGATGCAAAACAAAGACTCATTGAAGACATTTGGAGGAATATAAGAAACACATGGAAAGACATCTCCAAAAACAAGCTCTTGGACCTGAAGACTACACTCCACACGGGAACTCCAAACAGTCTCCAAAACAACAACTATGCGTTAAACAATGTCGATAAATGAATTCTGTTCACTTTCCATATTTGAGTCATCTGAAGAAATGAAAGACATGACATAGTCTTTCAACTTTGCTGGGAGACGTTTCTTTCGTTGTGGTCGTAGGGGAGTACTAGTAGCCAATGGGGTTGCCAAAGTCACTGACGGCTGGGATACGAAAAAAAAATCACGGCTTGAAGGGTCGCACTGCACAACCACTGGGTCACAGGGTACCTCCACCTGCTGGGGAGCCCCACTTGGTTCGCCAGGACTTGGTTCCTCTGGGGGAGCAGGCTGCACGGAATCTCCGAGCGCAGCCGGAGGCTCGGTGTCGGGCCACCAGGAACATCCAGGTTGCCCAGGCGTCGGCCCAGACTCGCCAGCCAGTGGAGATTGAGGAGGCCCAGGGTCAAAAGCACCGGGGACGAGCAGTGGCCCCGGATCAGGAACTGTATGACTTTCAGGTATACTGTGTGGAATACTATCATTTTGATCTATATATGGTGCGAGGACATTTGGAAGTGGAAGTGAAGGAATACTATTGGAGAGTTCACGAAAATCTTCCTCGTCCGAGTAGATGTCGGAATCTCCCTCACGAGGCCGTGCAGACGCCTTCGTCAATTTACTGGCATTCCAGGTCCTTCCATCATCGAGCCTGTACGTGGCTGATCCCAGCTGGGCTTCAACCCTTTTCGACTGTGTATACCTTGATTGAAGTTTGCCACGATGTGTGGGCTTGAACACGTGCACGGCTTGACCGGCGGAGAACTGTGGCCGTTTGGCAGCCTTCCGGTGATCCCAATATGACTTCATGTTTTGTTGATAACTTTGAACCCTCTCGGGAAGAAGAGCACGTTGTTGTAAAACGAAATCAGGAACCTGCCTTGTAGGCATCCCTTGGAGGTTTAGTTTAGACCGGTGGATCCGACCATGCAATAAAAGTGAAGGGGCAAACCCCGTCGCAGGATGTACCGTACGGCGGTACGCTTCGAGATGGTCTCGAACAGCTTCTATAAGAGGACGGCCTTGAACTATAGCTGCCTGAAGGCACGTCTTGAGAACACGGTTAAATCTCTCCACCTGACCGTTACATTGTGGATGATACAAGGACGTTTTCAAATGTTTTATGCCATTTTCACGAAGGAAGTCTTGAAATTCTTAGGACATAAACTGTACCCCGTTGTCTGTAACAAGCTCACAGGGAAGTCCTTCATGAGCAAACACATTTCTCAAAAAGGAAATGACAGTTGAAGACGTTATTGCTGCGGCAGACTGCACCTCAGGCCACTTCGAATGATAATCTATCAAGACAATGAAAAACCGTTGACTCTGTGGCGCCCTGTCGATAGGGCCTACGATATCGACAGCAAGTTTTTCCCAAGGCTGGTCGGGGAACTTTATGGGCTGCAACGGAGCGGGTGCGGCCTTTACAGGTTTATCAGTCGAATGACACACCGTACAATTTTCCACTTTGGTTTTGATCTCCTGGTTCATGCGGGGCCACCAATAGTGTTCACGTATGAGGCTTGTTGTTCGTGATATTCCTTGGTGTGTCTCGTGTGCAAGATGGATGATGTTGTCACGGAGTGTTGATGGCGGCACGAGCCTTTCTCCACGATACAAGATACCTTCATACAGTGAAAGTTGCTCACGCACTTGAAAGAACGGTCGCATGTCGGTGTGGATGTCATTACCCTCCGGCCAGGACGTGGTAGTGTACCGGATTACAGATGGAAGGATAGTGTCATTAGCCGTAGCCTGTTGAAATGCGAGTTTGGACATGGGGACTGTGATAAGAGAAACGACCTCCTCGGTAAATTCCATACCATTCTCCGTGTAGTTAACGGGTAGCCGTGAAAAAGCATCGGCAACCAGGTTCGCAGATCCCTTCTGATATTCAATAGTGAAATTATAATTAAGCAGTCTGGCTGTCCACCGGGTGATCCTCAAAGGGCGGATCCCAGACCCCTTGCTAGAAAGCAGGGCGACTAGAGCTTGGTGGTCTGTTCGTATCACAAAGGACCGACCCCACAGATACACATGCCACCTCTCACAGGCCCACAAACAGGCCAGCGCCTCCTTTTCACCTGTTGAATACCTCCGCTCGGCATCAGTCAACGAGCGCGAAGCGAAAGCGACAGGACGCAGTTGACTTCCGTACTGTTGTTGTAACAGAGCCCCAAGACCATAGTTAGACGCATCCGTAGCCAAAACGATAGGAAGTGTTGGATCAAACATCGACAAAATCGGAGCACTTTTTATGAAAGCCTTTACATTTTGGAAACTGGCCTCGGCTTCCGGGGACCAGTGAAAGCGAACTCCTTTACGGAGAAGACGACGCATGGGCTCTACGACAGTTGAGCAATGAGGGATAATTTTACTGTAATATTCAACAAGTCCCAGAAATGCTTTCAGCTTTGCTGGTTCGGTAGGGGTTTCAAACTTCAGGACTGCATCTACCTTAGCGGAAAGGGGTGCTAGTCCTTCCGCGGAAAGATGGTGTCCCAGAAACGAAAGCTCTGTAACTCGAAAGACACCTTCACGATTTAGCTTCATCCCGGCTCGGGAGATACAAGAGAGGACCTGACGCAGATTCTCGTCGTGTTCTGCCTGCGTAGCACCGTAGACTATTATATCATCAAGGTAAAACTGGACTCCTTTGCAATCTTTCAGGATTTTTGACATGATGTTTTGAAACGCTGCAGGTGCCGAAGCCAACCCGAAACAAACGCGCTTGAATCTGAACAGTTCCTCATGCGTGATAAAAGCAGTGAGATCACGACTCACCGGGTCGAGACGAACTTGGTGGTAAGCGGACGCCAGGTCCAGCTTGGAGAAGCAACTGGCACCACGCAAGGAACCCAGTAGTTCATCGATGTGGGGTAGCGGGAAAGAATCGATGACTACCGCTTGATTTGGCGCACGGAGGTCAACACACATCCGGATACGTCCGTCAGTCCGCCGAACGACGACGATAGGTGAAACCCACTCGGAGGCATCCACTCTCTCGATCACACCTTCTCTCTCCAGTCTGAAAATCTCTTCCGAGACAGCATCCCTCAGGGTCATCGGAAGACGGCGCAGCTTGGACTGTACCGGTGGCACGTTGCAACGCTGCTTGATAGTATGGGTGGAATTCTTGACCAAACCCAAACCTGGACTAAAGAGATGTTCAAATTCTTCGAAGCCTTTGGGCAACTTGGACTGATCTGAAAGAAAAGGACTTGAAACTTGAGATGCATTTGTATTTTCATGGTGGAGCAGTTGTGCTGTGATTTCATGGCTTGTATTTTCAGGACTTGTGTTTTCAGGAAGATGTGGTTGATGGAGCCCATGGCTCTCAGGATGGCGTCGCGGAATCGCGGCTGTCGACGAATCGTGGTCAAAGTCCGCGGGAATTTTCGGAGTGGTCTTTTCCGAGACCGATGACGATGTAGACACGTTGGCACCCGAAGGTACAAAAGAAGATGACCGGGACCTTGCATCTCTGGATCCGGCCGGTTGGCGGTTTTGGCAGGACGTGATGATGAACGGCCGTCGCTGCAGGGGGACCGCCGACTTCACATACTGCCGTGGAACTCCTCCTCCCTGAGCTGCATCAACATGCGAACAAACATAATCATTTTCATCTCCTGATAATCTCATGCGCAACGCTCGGACGGCGTCGACGCCAAGTAGCGATCCTCCAGTCCGGGTGACAAAAAACTCCAGCGGTGCATAACGATCCTTAAAAACAACTTGAGCGGTGAAGCATCCAAGCACAGGGATAGTGTCTTGCATGTAGTGAACAAGAGTTTTCGAGGGCGGACATAGTCGAATGTCGGAACTCCGTTGTACTTCATTAAACTCTCGTTCATTCAGAATGGACACAAAAGAGCCAGTGTCGACAAGGAGACGAAGAGGGGTTGTATTTACCTTGATGTCGGCCATGAAGGCATCCCGACGATAAACACCTCTTGCTGCTTGCTCGGCCGACTCAACGGGGACGCTCGGCAGCATTTCCGGCACCAGGGATGGCCCAACAATGTTCACAGGATCGTTACCTCCTGACGGCACATTCCGTGAAAACGGTCGGGCAGCGAAGTAACGGCCGGAGCCCTGGGGTGCTATGTTGCGCTTTTTGGACTCCCAGGAGACTAGGGAGAGGGAAGTGACGTCAACGACACAGCAAATGCAGATTGGATGTTGACAGAAGAAAACGAAATCAACACCCAATCTGCGTTTGCTGTGTCGTTGACGTCACTTCCCTCTCCCTAGTCTCCTGGGAGTGCAAAAAGCGCAACATAGCCCCCCAGGCCACGGCTCGGGAACGACGTTCGCCGCGGGTCACTGACGAAGGCCGCCGACGGTGGGCGGCGACTCCGACAAACCACCGCAAAGTGGCCCGTCTTTCCACACAAAAAACATGCCACACCAGACGCTGGACACTCGTTGCGGTTGTGGCCGCGTCGACCACAGAATTTGCAGGGAACACCGACTCCTTCATCTCCGTGCCTTGAAGGAGGAGGGTAGCGCAGACGCTGGGGTGGGTGGTGTTGTAAAGTCCGGGGCACGTGGCTGGAAGTGACGCCGGACCGGCCATCTTGCCACCGACTTCGGGAAGGAGCCGGCCATGGACCTCCATCTTGGACGTCCGGCGTTCCAATGGGCACGTGCGCAAAGACGCGTTCAACGGCTGCCGGCGCCGCACCGCTAGCACTGTTAGCTTGCAGGTGAAAGCTTTCTGTGGCGCGCGCAAGTTGCTCGTACTGCAGCGCGAGCTGAACGACACGGGTTAAAGTGGGTACCCCCGTCCCTACACACTCTCGAAGGATGCGGTCTTGGACCCGCTTAGAGTCCAACCCCTCCAAAAATATCTCAGCAAGCCTCTCTTCCAAAGCGTCTCCATAAGAACAAAAAGACCCTTGGCGTCGCAGAGCGGTCAAGTACTCCGAGACGGTTTCTCCCGGGCGTTGGACGCGAGCGCGAAGCTTTTGGCGTTCCAGCGCGATACACCCAGAAAACTCAAAGTGCTTCTCGATAGCACTCAAAAAGACTTCAAAAACATCGCCTTCCTCGGAAGCGGGAGTCTCATCGAGCTGAAAAGCGTCAACAATTCTCTGGCCCTCAGCCCCAAGCATGGAAAACAAGATCGCCTTTTTTCGACTAGGCGCAACACTGTCCAAGCCGGACGCCTCAAGGAACATCAAGAAAGCACGTTTCCACGCGGGCCATGCACGCTCGGGCTTGCCCGGAACTGGCAAGAAGTCGGGCGGTGATGGAACCGGCGCGAGCGCTGACGTGCCGGCAGCTACAGGAGGCTGTGTTCCATTATCCATTATATATATGTTGTAGAAGGTTGTAGGAAACGATGCAAAAACAGTGCAAACTCACATCTTACGTTGTCACGAGACGCATGCTGAAGGGAAGCAGCTGTCAGGGCCCATTCTGACTAGCCATGGAACGTGTTCCAAGTGAAACGAAATGGATCGAAGAAGAAAAAAAAAATCGCGTCGGCTCTCACGGCCAGTGCACCGAGACGCGGAGAGAACTACGGTTAACCACCTCGTCGCCAAAATTTGTAGTAATCTCCTCTACACGGCGGTACGAAAGGAGAGGACGCTAACAGCACTCACATGATGTGGCCGGGTAGGAAGCCGCGGCCCCGCGCGTTCGGGGCTTACGAAGAATGAGACAAAGACATGTTGCCTGCTGGGTGTCCCGTAGTTCTGACGTCGCTGACGGACGGCGGCTCTTTTATTAACATATGTCACGTGACATCATAGATGCATAAACACACATAACAACAAGATAAGACAACCCGGTAAACTCACCATCAAAGCATACTAAACAGAACACACGTTGCGCCATCTGGTGGCAAAATCACTTATCACAGATCACTACACACATATAATTGTTTCCTGACCACGGGAACGGTTGTCTTTTTCAAAGAATTAGTGCCAATGCTTTATTTTTCGGACTGACTTGGGTATGGAGAAATATTACACACCAAAGTTTGGCCAATGACATGTTCTCTCAGCAGACACAGGTCGATATAACGTTAAAAAAAGATTTTTAAAATTGTGCTTTTTAAGTACGTGCGTAAGGCTTATAATACAGAAACTTCTACAGCTATGTCAAATTAAACCACAATTAAAAAACCTCTTATTATAGATAATGTGCCCCACACCCACGGATATTACTTCTGAAAGTTAGCGTAAATTAAGTGACGTTCTCTATTTTTGGCTCGTCGGAGAGTTAGCCTCCGTAGCAAATCTGCTTTTCAACGAAGGAATGCTTATATTGGTGAAAGGCGTATAGTACACATCATATCACCAGCACAATACTTTCCTTGTGTTCTACCTCGGTTTTGTCATCGCCTCGATTAAATTTCCCTCGCATTTAGATCATTTTGAGCCTTGTTGGGAACATAAAACGGGCACGCTGGCTCAAGACAGCCTTAGAAATTATAGTGATGCTTACTGACGACCATCTGTTAAGCAATGGCTATAACATAACTTGAAATGTTCCCAGAGCTTTTGTGGTCTAAACAAAATGCCACAATACAGTTGAATTATGTAAATAATGCCATGTTTGCTACAAAGACTAATGCAAGCAGTTAGCCACGTAAGACAAGTGATACGACCTGTCCCATAACTGTTTTGGACAGCCCACCAGCTGTGATAAAGCTTAAACCTACGTTGAAAACGAAACTAGACTTTTTCGGCTATCCACTAGGTTGTGAAACATAATTCTCAGCACTAAACTTAATTCAACCACCGAGGGTGGATGACCAAAGGGCGTGGTCAGAAAAGTGTTAATCGACCCACCATTCGTCGACACTTGTTTCGTCACCCTAACTGTCGGAAAGTATACTTGCTTCGTCCCGGGAAGTATACCTGCGAGCTGGCAGATGTACCTGGGAAGATCTGCACACTATTTCCATACACGTGAAGTGCCTAAGCGCCGCTGAGCACACTTTGTGGTGACTCCCTGAAACTCAAACGAAACGAAGTTGGTATTGTTCTTTCGGGGAAGTGTCATGCCGTAGGGAGCAGAAACCGACAAGGCGCTCGAGGGGAGGTGCTACAGCCCTCTAAGCCACCAGTGCACGCTCTCTGAGCTTGTTTGGGCGCATTGGTGAAGCCCTTGTTCGTGCCTCACCAGTTAATTCTTTGTTCGTTAGAAACGTGCGCGGGCTTGATAATAAATGATTCTCGCACGACCTTTGTGCGCAGCTCGCTGAGGCACAGCAGACAGCTGCTACGCGCCCTTGTAAGGCTATGTGATCACACAAGGTGATAGAACAAGCACTTCTCGGAGCTTGTGTAGCCTGCACCACACAACTGTACCGGCATGACCCCAGGTTTTACTCTTGCCGCGCGCCAAGTGATGAATTTTGTGAAGGGAGAGAAAAAAAAAAAAAAAAAAAAACGTGGCCAGAGGACTTAAGTGCGGGCATAGCATCTTCTTTACTCACAAAAGCTGGCGGTTCGACGACGGAGCCATAGAGCGCCCGGTCGCAGATTTAGAGCGCGAGGATATGGTAGCACCGAGCATTTCTCGGGGAGCCTGTAGTCAGCGCACAGCTTTTCCATTGGCGAGGACCCAAACGTGTTTTTCAGTCCCGACGAGAAAAGAAGCGGTAGCGCGAATAACTCGAGTAGCCCGAGCGGACATTCCATCGCTCGGGACAAGTGTGTTGCGGCGTCTCGCCGCAGCGGGGCGCCCGTTGCATGCTCTCCTCTCATCCGTTATCTGCCGCTCTACCTTTTCACTTTCGGCGGCCGCGTCTCGGGGTGATCTGCCAGACTTTGTCAGTATAGAGGAAGTTATGGTGCGGGTTACAAATCCGCATCTCACAAAACCATTTGGTCTATATGTCATTGTTAGAAAGTGAGGGCCAACCATCATGGCTGTCATCACTTGACAACACTCAGAAGCAGTGAAATGGATCCAGATTACCATCTGATTCAGATGACAGTTTCACATTAATTGAACTTAATGTTTGCTGCTAACTTTCCCCCTTCCCCCTCTTTCCCTCTACCCACCGAGCATTTCATGTCCCTCCTCCACCTCCACTTCTCCTCCATCCGCTCCCCTAGTAATCAGCGGGGAATTTTCGCTAAACTTAACGGTAAATATGGCCGGGCAATTTTTCCGCTAAATTTTGCGGGGAAATTTTGTCTACTAGAGGAGAATTCTTCCGCTAAGTTTAGCAGGAACATTTTTTTTAGCTAAATTTATCCGGGAATTGTTTCTGCTAGATTTAGTGGAAAAATATTTTCCATAGATTTAGCGGAACTTTTTTTGCTACTTAGCGGGGAATTTGTTCTGCTAGATTTAGCGGGCTATTCTTCCGCTAGGAACTTTTTCTGCTAGATTTAGCGGGTAATTTTTCCCGCTAAATTTAGCGGCGAAACTGCACAAAATTTCGTTTTAAAGTTAGCGGGGCTATTTTCCCATAATGCCGTACTCGCGGCTATGCCCGCTTGCACTATTCCCATAATGTATCGCGTGAAGTTACGCCGACGCCGACGGCGACGCCGCTCAAGCCGGAAACGTGCGCTTAACAGCTGCGCTCTAAAAGAACACTATCAGCAATTGATGTAATAGATGCTAGCTATGATTCCATTCATTCGAAACCCGAGGTATAAATCAAGCCAAATATTAGTTATAATGGAAATATGAAACGTCTACTTTGTGACGGTGATCAAAATTGCAGAAACAAACGATGGGGGCTATCATTTGATTTCTGAGTACAGTGTTGTGATGAAACACTCCGTGAAAGACACAAATACTAGATACTTTTTGATAATATGCGAGACTGTTTGGTGATAAAGCATTTTTCACTCATGTTACGCTATCGGTACGATTATAATTAGCCAAAATAAAACGTGGGGATCTGTTCTGAATTGACTAGAGAGAGTCAGTAAGGTAAGTGGTACCAGGATTCCAGATGGAGGCTACATACTCAAGCGTTGACCTCACTAGTGTTTTATAAATAAATAGTTTTAATAATGACAGTACCGTAGAAAAAGTACACTTAAGATAACTAAAGACACGGTGAGCGTTTTTGTCACATAAATAATAAAAAAAGTTCCAGCAAAGTTCGGAGCTTATGACCGTTCCTAGATACCTATGAGAGTTTACAAGCACTACACTGTAAAAAAAAAAAAAATCCCGTCAAATTACTGAAATTGCCAGTTAATTTTTGATGTCGGTACAATTTTCGTTGTCTTGCATAACGGTCATAGCATTAACTAGGTATTACGTGCATGACAGTAATGAGGCCCTACGGATTTTGCCCGTAACTTGACCCGTAGAAGCATGGCAGAAAACCGTAACTCTCATGCACGTGATCCACAGATACGGGAATTGTTCCGGCATCGAAAATAAGCTGGCGTGTTGTCCGTAACTTGCGACGGCAAAAAATCGTAAATCTCAATCATTGAGCTGCACGTGATGCGTGATGACAGGAATCGTTCCTACATAAAAAATTAGCTGGTGTGTTGTCTACACCTTGCAGCGACAGCCAGAGCCTGTTGCACTGCTCGCTGCAGTGATTTAACGAAACAGACGTCTCAGTGAACAATAATATAGCATTTTACTGCTATATTTATTGTTCACCGAGATGTCCGTTTTGTTATATCACTGCAGCTATCATTTTAACAGGCTCTGGCCATTGTGCAATGTGCGGACAACACGCCAGCTAATTTTTAATGAGAAAAGAGTCAAAGTACAGGCTAGCTGGTGGAAGTCAACCAGACCTCTTTGTTTTTAATGTTACTTCTGCTCTTCAAAAAAAAAAAACTCAGTCTCAGGGTAAACGAAGAAATGGTTAATTTTTAATGTCGGAACGTTTCCCGTCGTCTCGCATGACGTGCAGCTCAGTGGTTGAGAGTTACAGCTTTCTGCCGCTGCAAGTTACAGAGAACACGTAAACTAATTTTTGATGCGGGAACAATTCAAATTAAATATCTAGTGCCCAGGGAATGTGACTTGGCTGCGGGTCCAAGTTACTTTCAGGAGTTAATGCCAGCTGCGCGTCCCAAAGATTAACAGCTGCTTAAACACTGTGTTAGAAATTTCGAGGAAGTGCACACAAGATACAGTATTAGTAAAACATGTTCATACATTTATTCTTAAGAAATAATTAGTGGGCCATGTCCAGCTTTCATGTGGAAGGCAATCTCTAATTTCCTGAGCAATCAAGTCCATATGAAGAATTACAGAACCTGGAAAACAAAAAAAACGTGGAATGTGGTTAGGTTATGAACAGAATGTGATGACAGAATAAACCTCCCCATTTCCGCAAACTATGAGTTACACGTAAGTGCATTGAAGGAGCCTCAGCTGAACTCTGGCGGGCAATAAACAGTGAAACGAACTTGTGACTTATGATATGAAACCATTTTAACAAGGGAAGTTAGAAAATACCTGTGAAGACAGAGTTGCTTCAAGCCTGTTGTCACGAGTTAATTTCAGAAGTTACTGCCAGCTGTCTCTCCCAGACATAATTAAACACCGTGTTAGTGGGGTTGTGCGAATATTCGGAATTTCGAACAGTAGTTTCAAACAATACACTATTCTATATTCGCTTTGAGAAGGACTGCGCTATTCGTGTTTTTCAAAGTGT